CCTATTTCCAACACTTTCAACGCCTCCACTTCGTGCTTGCCCGCGATGATGTCGGAAATGTCGGCGTGCTCCACGTCTTGGCCCAGTTGCAACAACGCCTTGGCCACTACTATCGCAGCCTCCTCGGACAGGGATTTGTTCGACAATTGCACCCGCCTGCATGTCATCCTTGCCGCACGGGCACTTGCCGTACGGGCATCCTCCCCACCGCTCGAGTCTTCGTGCGAGACAGCCACCGTGGCTGCCGCGGCGAGGTTCGCAATGTCTTGCGAAAGCTGGGAGAGGGATTCCTCCACCAGGGCAGCAGCACGGGAGGCATCTACGTTCTCCCTGCTGCCGTGCAAAACAAAAGCGGGCAATCGGGCTAAAGACAGACGATGTGCTTCCTCCTCGTCCGGGTCCGGCGTAAAGTTGCTCGCCATGCTATAGTGAAGCTGCGGGAGTCTGTCTCGTGGGTCGCATCACCGCACGATTGTTGGGTAGAACGGATGGTATGAATGCGATGGATGGAACTTACGAGCCGACGTCGCGGCAACGTCCTGAGTTTTCTGTCCACAAATGTTCTCGGATTCCAAGTAGATTCCCGGGAAGGGCATGCACGCTCAGATAATGGTGTCACAGATATATATCGTTGCCACGGATTGCAGGGGGCTTGAGGTCTTCGTGTGGGATGTGCCCGCTTTGTGCGACGTGCCGCTCCTCTTCACGGCATGTGAGAGCCGGGCGATATCGAGGGCGAGGGAGGGACTCAAGTTACGTGTTGATAACTGCACTCATTGGAGGCAGAAGCACCAAAAATCTCTGAAACGACCATTATCTATACTCCTCACAAGTACAGGAAAAGGGAGTGGGTGCTCAAGACATACCGGCGTGGAGGGTTGATAGCATAACCGAGGTACAAGGGGGAGGCTGCGTAATAAATACATACACCCCTCAAGTACACTACCCTGCAAATTTAAACCCCAGCATCTCTACAATGATATAGACTTCAAAGCTGTCGCGTAGCGCTTTATCGACCACGGCGAATGTCGAAGTAACCATTTGCGACCTGTCTCTTCCCTCCCAGGCATCATTACCTCAGGCACCTCCCTACCATGGGTGTTCGTCCCCTCCTGCGTGTCAGCAAGGCGCAAGCCACGCATCTTTTCCGCTTTATCACCCACGTCGATATCAGGTAAAAGCAAAACGCGTTGGGTTGTTGGACTGGATGCTTTCAAAGCGCCTAGCTCCTCCTCGGGCTATTAATTAGCGCTGGGATGGTACCGGTCCTGTGGTTCACTTGGCATCGAATGGCATGCCCCGCCGCGGTAAAAAAGGCGGCACGTATCCCATAACCTGACCAGTGTCCCTTCTCCCCTTGATCCCACCCTTTTCTTTCCTCTCCCATATACCCCTTCCTTCAGTCTGAACCCGTGGTCCGAGTTTCGACTGGCCAGCACGCGCGAATTCTGGCGCGCCATTTCCGTGCCACGTTTGCGCAAAGCCAACCCAAAATGCGTGATCAATGTAGAGACGCACAACAAGAAGGTGGCTCCCATGGTGGCCGTCAAGTGAGGGAGGGGGGGAAGGGGGAAG